TTACCAAGAAATACGTTTATGGTAAAATTTTGGAAAATGGGCGTGGCACCGCCGACTTATGATCATATTTATGTATATCAGTAACCGTTCTACCAATTTGTACCAAACTCGGTGTGGTTATTGTGCTTGTCACATAAAAGCAAAACTTTGAAAATTATTGAAATCGAACTAAAATTGCGGCCGCTTTTCATATAACGGTAAATTTCATAAATGCTTGAAACTGCAATATTTCGAAATTTAAGGGTGCTAATTTACTCAAAATTGATACACCCCGGCTTACCATCTAGCGGTAGCTTTGGGAAAGGTGAAAAAACATATATTTAATACTTGCGCCGGGTATTTAATGTTCGGCTCCACCCGAACTTAGACTTTCTTACTTGTTTTCTTATAGTTTTTTTGCTCGCCAAACGAGTGTACGGCTTTTGAGGGATTTTTCACCCACCACTTTTCGCCCGGCAACCCTCATCTATTAATGTAGTACATCTACTTAATTCTATGAGGCCTTTAATGAATAATTTACCGACCTTTTTACAAAGCTGAATTTCGAAAGAAAATGAGATTAGGAAACCGTCTATTAACCAACTACTTTTGTGTTTTATTTTTTTTTCGGACTAAGTTCGTATTACTCTGCTTACACTACATTTACTGCGGTACGGTGTAGAGGTAAGGATTCATTTTGTTTGTATATATGGGTGCGCTTTGAATTCAAATTTTGCATAATGATAGCAAGTAAATTAAAGCATAAAGCAGGTGATACGAAAAATTATTTCTACTAAGCATAGCATTGAAAGTAATAATTTTGTTTTATTTGCTAAAACCAAAAATCAATTTATCGATTTGCTATTGAAAATGCTAAGTGGCAGGCATAAAGGAATCGCTATGTAAATGACAGTTAAATGCTAATTAAGAGCGCGCAAGTATCCACTCACTGCGAGTAGTTAAGAGGACTTGTGTTAATGGCCGCAGATAAGCGGTGATGAAAATGGATTGGAAATGCATAGATTTGCATAAATTGGCGACTGAATTACAAGTGGCATGCTCGTAGCATATCGCATATTGTGTAGATGACGATGTGGATGAGGATGATAGCAAGGAGTATTATCCACGCAGAACATAGTATATTTACATATTTATGTACATTCGTATGTGCATAATGCAAGAGAGTGCCGTCTTTTGACTGCCACATTTGAGTGGCATAGGCGCACACAAGGTTCCAATGCACAAGCCCGCTGCTCCCCACTCACCTTGCGCTGGCCATTTATGTATTTTCTTGTAGTCCGTATGCCCAATTGTTTGCTTTTATGCCTTCCTTTGCCTTCTATGCAGCCGTATGGTTCGCAGCGAGCTCTAGGCGTCCGCTTCTTTGATGGCACGCGGCCAAATCTTAATTTTTTTTTCGTTTCTTGTTGTTATGCGCACAAGCAAAAATTTCGCAATGCTTTCCTACATTATTTTCACAATATTTTTTTTTTCATTCACAGATAATTTTTTTCTAATTTTTAGAAAATATTTTATTTATTCTCTTTTCATTTCATGCAATGCAAATTCGGATATTTTGCACTCATTGAATTTTTCCTTACACTTCACAGCTCTTTTTGGGATTATTTAGCGAAAACTTGGCTAATTCAGTCATATTTTTTCCACTTTATCTTCTGCTTGTAGTAGTAATATTTAGCCAATCAATTTCGTTTCTTTGCACTTAAATATTTTTGATAATTATTATTTTTTCAATCACAAACAATTTTTTTACGCTGCTGTCCACGCCCCTCTCACACTCCGCACTCGTTCATTCTGCCGTTCTGTGTCACAACTTTTCCACTTAAAATTCGCAGTTTTGCATGCCGACGGTGATGAAGCGCCGTTCTCCTAAGAAACACCCGAAACGAACTAAATTGTTGGGGCTGCGATTTGTTGCACCATTTGAGCTGCTTTCTTTTGGCTTCACTTTCTTTTGCTAATTTTCTGGGGGAAAACTGCCTTCTGCGGCATCACTGGCAGCACTGAAGCATATGGCTATTATTGTTTGGCTTCAAGAGCCACCCTCCTCAATTCAATTGCTCTCTTTTCTCTCATTTCTGTGACAGCTGCTTTCTATGTTAATAGTTGAGAGCACGGGTTGTTTCACTATTCAAAACAAACAGGCAGTGGACAAAAACTTCCTACTCTTTATTGTGCATTTTCTAGCCCTTATCATTGCCTGGCGAAATTGTTGAAATAACGGTGAACAGCTGTGAACACCCCTCAATTTATAGTAGCACTAACATAAAATCGAACACCGTCGCCAGTAATATCTTTCTTGTGTTTTCCAGGTATTAACTAATACTAAATATTTTTATAGAAAATCTAAATTCCAAAACAGCAGTCAAAATGTATTCGCTTGTATTATGAGTCCACGTGTGAAACCGTGCTTCACTTCTCTCAATTAAGCTGAATTTAGAAACTGCTTAGGTAAACTCTAACATAAAAATTCATAAAAAATAAAGAAGACTTTAACTGCTTTGTAAATCGAAAATTTGTATGAAAATGTCACTTTATAAAGCTCTTTAAACCTATATTTTTATGAATAAAGCCATACAAATTTAACGAAATTTGCCAGCCTGAGGAGCAAGCAAATCATATATTTATGTAATTTAAAACACAAGATTCACTGTGGTACGATAATTTTTTCACCACACTGTTTGGTAGTTATTTCCAACCACATCAACATTCACCCATAGGTAAGGGTTGATAGACTCTTCCAAAGTATATGTGCGTATAGGTGCTGTCAGACGTGGCAATGCAAAATATTGCGAAACGGCTGTCAAATTGAGAAATTTCTGAAACAGTTGCATAACTGAGTGACAAATTGCACTCAGTGCCTTTCGAAAGTTGTTCTTTATTTCTGCAAATCGAGCTGCACGAAAGATGTCTGAGAACGCTTTTTGGCTGTTCACACAGCGAATGAATTTCTGGCAGTCTTTAATAATAGATTGGCGCCTACACAATTCGTTAGTGTTTGGCCGAGCTTCTCCTCCGATTTGTGGCGAGCGCCTTGGTGTTGTCACACAAATCCTGGCAAAGACAAAAACCTACAAATGAATGCTGTAAAAGCCTTTTATTAAAAGAGAATTCAATTCTGTACAGCACTTACAGCATAAATAAAAATTGCGAGTTGAAATATTTGCAATCACATCTTGCAGTTTTTATTTCCGAAACTGATTTCAGAAGAGTGGCAAAGCATTCCTTCTGGCTGGTCACACGAGAGAGTAAAATTTTTCTTTCTCAATTTGGCAGCGGCAAAGTTGGAAATATTGCCACGTCTGACAGCACCTTAAATGAATGTATGTATGAAATAATACTGCCAGCAGTTCTCTTTGCTATCACATTTTGTGAACAGTACATTGGAATCCTTTTCTGTTTGTTCACCTTTTCATTTTGTGGTTGGCTGTGGATAAATTTGTGAGGGTGGTATTTTTTTTGTGAACCCATACCCACTGTTGATTTTTTAGGGTTTCTCCCCCCAGGCTAGCCAAAGTAGTTTCTTTGATATTTACCTAATTAGCAACGATTTGAATGTACATACATTGAAGGGGAATTAAAAACTGCTTTTCGTCCATAATGCAACCTTAAATCAGCCAAAATGAAGCTTTGTTTATAGCTGTTTTAAATGTGTTATATGTATATACATATATATCATTGAAAATATATTTTGAAGTAAGCATTAGGGCGGGTCAATTTGTATGTAAGATTTAAGTCATTGAACGACTTTTTGAATAAAAATGGAAATGCGTAAGAAATTGTATGTCGTATTATTCATTTCATCAAGTCTTAACTGCAGTTTATGCCTATTGGAAAATGGGAATTACTACTCGAAGGAAATAATTACTTATATTAAGTACGAGCAAATGGAAATTAAAAAGCATATAGTGATATTTCATGCCAGCGCGGCCTCCTCTGTGCGCGACCTCTAAGGAATTGGATGAAAGTTTTGCCGATATGACACATGGTTGCCTATTTACACGGGACTTAAATTTTACGTCATACGTACATTTTTTTAAAATGCTGTATCCTGGAAACTGTTTTATGAAACTTAATAAAAAAGTGTTTTTGTTCCGTCTTTTTGTAATTTTTACATTAATGTGCAACGTATAAAAAAATTAAGTCAACATTTTTTTTGATGTTTTTTCTTTGACATTTTTTAATTTTGTTACACAAAAACATTATCTATAATGTTAACTTTAAGTACCCAAACGGGCGAAATGGCGAAATGAGTTTCTGAAGACGAATGGACTCTAGATCGTCTAATACTCGGGCAATATGATAAATAGATAATAGGGGTATTCTCTGAGTCTTGCAAAGCCCTTGCACGGTGCACGGATTGCACGGTTTGCAAAGCTGTCCCATACGAAAACCGGTTTTTACCGTGCAATCCGTGCAATATGTGCACCATGCAAGGCCTTTGCAAGACTCAGAGAATACCCCTATTGAAATTTTATGAAATTGCATATTTTTGAAAAGGGAAAGGCGTTAAAAAAATAGAAACAATACGAATAAATCATATTAACTTTACTAAAGGTCTGAAGAATAGATATTGAAGTTTACAATCTTGAGCTTTTGGCTGCTAATATGACCTTATAAGATGGGAAATAGTAAAGTTTGCAACCAATTCCAGCAAACACGAATTTCTTACTCAAAAGGTCTGAAAAAAATGCTAATAATTAGTATATAATTTGGTTTATACTGATTTGTTAAACCTTTTATTTTGAAAAGATAGAAGATCTCTCGGAAATAAGATCCACTTTTCGGCATGTGACAACGCTCCAAAAAAAAAAACAAAATAAGAATAGTCGGAAGTTACAAAATATTTGTACGAAATATCGCACAAATGCCGGCAAAGGGTTAAAAAGGGTACAGCTGTGATTTTAGGTTTTACGATTTTTCAATATCGAAAAATACTCAGTATTAACCCCCCATTTTCTGAATACAGCATCATTTTCATAAAACCTAAAACTGTTGCGGTCTCAGCGGGATATTTAAAGGCAAAAATAACTCCAGAACTGGATTCGTCATAAGAAAAAATTATGAAAACCTGATTTTATAAAAAAAAATTACATTTTATTACGACACCACAGCTAATTAAATCGTTGCTAAGGAAAAAAAACATTTTGACTATTTGGCATGCACAAAATTTCACGCCAAAATATCTCAAAATTAGTTTTCAAACTAGGGGAAGTTACCAACAAATAAGGCTGCGTATACCCTTTTTTTACATCCGGAATCGAGCCGATCTAATTTAAATTTTGGGAGATACAAAGGCTTACTTTTACTGATTGGCCTTTGTTTGAAAAGAAGTTCTAAAAATTATATATATTTATGAACTTTGCTGAGGATTCCTCACATAGGCCATAATGGGTACCTAGTTTCTTCAATAAAATTTTACTTAAATTTCTATTATAATTAAATTTCTTTTAAATACAGTTTTTAATATTAACTAAGTGCTATGCTTGCATCTATTTATGTACATATGTATGTATATGTATTAGCTATTTTTCTTGCCAAGTTTTTGCAGTGCCCCTAAATTCGGATTAGAGTTGCTTGTTAATTACATCATATAGACCGATATAGATGCATCAGTTTTGATTAGGTGATACAAGTGTGTATTTCTTTTACATATATTTAGATACATCGATATTTACATATGTAACTGCAGTTGTCCTTCAAAATTGGAATTTTAAACTAACCATTTTGAAGCAAAACATTTTGATTTACGCCTAAAATCGTAATAACCGGCATGGATATACATACATATGTATGTATGTAGGAGTGTTTACACGCACTTGAGAATTAGTTAACCAACTAACCTTGAGTGGCACAGAATTTTTTCAATGGAACATTGATCTCAAAAGCCAAAACAAGAGCATAACTTCGTGCGCAATTACCAAAGTAGTCGAAACAGTCGAACACATAAATATTTATTTTCTGCAAAGTTTTTGTTGTTTTCTCACATACTTAAAATAAATGCATTGATGGCCCAATCACATGATATTGAATATTTATTAAGAGAAAAGAACCAAACTGAAATCGAGAATGTAGAAGAACTAGTTGGAAAATAATGATGGAGCCACAA